TCTGGCTCGGTGGGCTGGTAAGATCATCCACTGGGATCATTTTCACATGTCCATATGCCGTTTTTCTAAAAAAGAAGTTTGTCACGAACTCAAAATCTTATCCTCAACTTTGAGAGCAAATTGGGAGCTCAGCATGGTATACTTTAGAAAGAAGCCCTCAACAAGCAGTAAATTTGTGTGAATTTCTATGATCTCATCTTGTTGGATGGATGGATCTCTTTTTACCTTGGTGTTGATTATGTTAAACATACGGATTATTTTCTGGTATGTCCAATGGTTTATTCTTCCAATCTGGAATACTTTTTATCCAGGATCTTATTGCCAGATATTTGGGCGTCACATCTCCAGCTTCTGATATGGGAGCGGAGAAGTCGTAAGAAGTGATGCACTAGAATTACTAACTGGTTTTTTTTTGAATGTAGGAAATGTGTTGTGGAGAAATTGGGAGAAAAGGTTTGAGGAAGTACCGGAGCATAGGGTTCGGCACCATTCCAAAATCCAAAATTTGTTCCACCATGGATCACATAGAAGTTGATATTGGCCCCCAGTCCATACATATCTAAATAATTAACAGCATTAACATTTTTGTTTAATTACAAAGTGTTCAACCCGATCTCTTATAAAACTTTAGGGATAAATTAATGTATCGCTTTGTTATTTTTTAAATACTAATATTAATTAGGACACACGCGTTAGCTGGATTTTTTCTAGAAGGGCATGAATGTTTGTTTGGAATAAAAGCTTTTCTGAGCAGCGCACAGAGGTACAAGAGACGTAGAAATAGTCTAGCGCTACTGTAATAGTTCTTGACTCCCTTTCCGGCAAGAGAAGGATGTGGTAAACAAGTGGGAGATGGAGGGTTAAGGAAAAAATTCTGGGACAAAGAGCAATATCCTTTAAGCGACGCTTGTAACTTTTGTTCACACTCAATAATCCCCTATCTCTAAGCTCTTTCGTTGCAAGCATTCATCCTTCGAAACTTTTGATCACATTGAATAAACATAGAATGCTTGCTGTTTGAAGATATTAAAACTGTTTTTTCAAAAAGTACAAGTAGTTACCATGCCTTAAGATTAAATAAAAGGTGAAAATTGCATGTTTACTCACACTTTGCAGAACTGACTATTTCTTCTGGTGATGGAAGCTTGGCAGCCTTCTGGCCCCACGTCACAAACCAACCTGGATAAAACTCAGAGTTCACAAGTGGTCCATGTCCTAAACACTCGTAGCTACTTCTGTATACTTCAGAAATTGCGTCTTTTACCATCAGGGAAGTATTTCTTTTGAGCTTCGAACGAAGAGTTGATATTCCGTTCGGACGTTGGTCCAAAATCAACAGTGGTAAGGGTTTCGGGTATAGCTCCGCACTTAACTTGGGAAGGAGGATCGGCTAGAAGAAGAAAGGTAACAGAGCATTTTATGTTCCTACCCTAGATAGTACTCACTTGTATAAAGCACTGCTTCGTCACCCAAATATTCCAAGAAAAGATCCCTCAACCAAGTCGTGTATTCTCTAAATTTGAAAAAAAGTTAATTAATGAATTTTAAGAGCTAAGAAGATCGTAAGAAAACTTTTTGTTCACGTTCTTTACCGCTATAGTAGAGTGGGAGAAGGGGATGGGGCAAAAGGAAAAGAGAGGAGGGAGATTCAGGGGAAGGGGCGGGGAGAGGAGAGGGAAGTGGGGAGGGAGCGCTGTAGAGCAGAACGAAACGTGGAGCAGCAGTTTGACAAAATTCTCAAACAGACATAGAGAGGATGTCTTGAAAGGAAAGTAATCTTACTTCGAAAATTTTTATAGGTGGCACTTCGGCGCAAAATGCTCAAAGACCTCGCATATCGTAGAGGTTTATAGTTTCAAGAAAAAATGTAAATAAGTAAATACATTTTTGACCCCAATCTTAATCTTCATTGAGATTTATACAAATGAAAGAATTTTTGAAAAATCAATAAAGCACCTGTCGCAAGCCTTATAAAGCCCATATTCATTCTCAACTTGGACCATTAGTACTGGTCCACCGTGTTGCCGAAGGAGCGGCTCTATTTTTGGGAGAAGCACTGAGAACCACTTTTTCACTGCTATTTTGAATCTGTAACAGCAATGCTTGTAATTGATGGTATTTACATGATTTAGCTTCCAACCGTTCTTCACTGGTTCGCATTGTTGTTATGTTCTTCTTGAGAAGCCACCAAGGAAGACCACCATTCTCCCATTCCGAACAGATATAGGGTCCTTAATTTCACACTGCGCTTATAGTATGATAGTAGTATTGTTTGGAATGGTTGCTCACCAACTCTCACTAACGAGTACATTCCCAAATCAAAGGCCAAGCGTGAAAATTCTGTGAAATTGCGCCAGTCAGAGAAATCGTACCTAAGAGAATACATACAATTCTACTGAAATTTTTCCTCTGAAGAAACTTACTCTCCTTCGCG